GGATCGCTCAGGGAGTTTGTGTGTTCGCTCAGACACATGAAAAATTAGAGGGAACATTGCTCCTGGCAACAAGAGGTTGAGACAGAATTGGATAAATATCAACAGCTTATTTTAAAAATCACATAATGATTTATGTTTATGGACACCATGAAATTCAGCCTAAACCATTATTTTCATAGTTATATTAAAACATATATATAACATATATACGTATTACAGAGTGCTTCACAACAAAGAAGCAAAACATTAATTAATGCATTAGTTACCCAAAAGCAATGGCAAATGTGTATAAATTGTTCAGCATTATTGGGGCCCCCACAGATATACGATAACATGTGCAATAATGATCCTCCATACAATCAAAGACGCTGGCTTTGAAATTTGGGCTTCGATTGCATTGCTTAAATAAACAAAACCCTTCCTGGAATAACTGTGGTCTGGAAGGACATAGTGTTCATGATCTCAAAGAAGCTCAGATTCAGTCCTCAGAATATTGTCACTCTTCGAGTCCAGAGGAGCATTTCTGGGTCCTCTTTACAGAAAAAAAAAACTCAACAATTCTTTCATGGATTCAAAAGTCTTATCTGTTCTTGCCAAATTACTTGTTACTATATGTGTATCTATAAATAACTACTGCAGTGTTCTGGGTAACAAACTAAAAAAAAAATCTCTTTGTCATTCTTTTGTTTCTCGTTGTTGCCGTTTTGCATGATTTTATGCTTTTTTAAATTTCCAGTAGAGGTATTTTTTTGAATATTTTTGTGTCCCTTTGGAGCCACTGTGGTCATATTGTATATTTCAGTGTTCTTGTTATTATTTGTTGTCGGTTTGTTTCTCTCTATGCTTGTTTTTTTTCCTTCCCTCTGTAATAGTTGTCATTTTTTCACTTTAACTTACATTTTTCCCTCTTTGTTCTAATTCTGCATCAGCATTGGTGTTATGACAGCCCGGGGGTCCAGGCCCATTCACAAAGGTCACTGTGCCCCCTCAGCTGAATTCTGCTGACATACTTTTACAACTATAAGTAAGAGTAAGGCACACAACTTGGCAATGAAAATACCAAATACCAAGATCACCATCAAATTATTATTAGAATATATATTTTTGTGATGACTTTTCACTACTTGTGGCTTTTGTTGGTGTTGTATCGACTTGTAGCTCTTTTGCCTGTTTTTCTTTTGTTTGCTTGTTTTTTCATCTTGTCATCATTTTGTCCATTGTTGCTGTTTTTCACCTCTTTGTGTACAGAATATGGTCTCTGGACCATGTCCTGCTGGTTCTGGTTCAGTAGTTCCTCCACGCCTCTGCCTCTATGGATCTTCATCACTGTACAGGCTGACTGGCTGCTGGAGGAGGATGTCTGGCTCACAGTCTTATTGATTTCTTTCTGTCTCTTTACAGATTCTCTCTCTATCTCTGCTCTGAATGAATGAAGACAGTAGAACGGTGCGCCACTAGCAACATTTCTGTAGGAACTAAACTATGAACCAGATACATTTGTCATTAGAACCTTCAGTGGAACCTGGATACATTTGTAACAGTTTTTAGAACCTTTGGTGGAACCTGGATACCTTTGTAACAGTCTTTAGGACTCTCAGTGGAACCTGGATACATTTGTAACAGTTTTTAGAACCTTTGGTGGAACCTGGATACATTTGTAACAGTCTTTAGAACTCTCAGTGGAACCTGGATACATTTGTAACAGTCTTTAGAGCCTTCAGTGGAACCTGGATACATTTCTAACAGTCTTCAGAAACCTCTGTAACATCAAAGCGTCAGTGCCTCGCGGGCTCCTTCACGGTCATCACGTCACCCACTCTCTTTCTTTTGACCATCTCTTTAAACGTCGCTCTCCCGCTCCCGTGAGACCACAGCGAGGCTCGCGGGGTAGAGTTACAGATGGGGGGAGGGGGTAGAGAGACATAGACAAAGAGGAGGAGTGGGGAGAGAGAGAGAGGGAGGCTCGCGTGCCTGTGTGAGGTTGAAAAGAGGGAGAGGTAGAGAGAGGTAGGCTCGTGCAGGAGGAGGTGGATCCCTGTGTAGTGGAGCAGCTTAAGCTAAAGCTAACTAGCCATGTTGCTGTCGCCGCTGCTGTTGCTCCTTCCGTTGCTGGTGGTGTGTGTCTGCTAGCGGCCGCCCTGGACTCCCTATCCGCCCTGAGGTGCATCATGCCCGGCTGGAAGAAAAACATCCCGGCCTGCCTCCAACCGGACCAGGAGGGAGGTACGATCAAACCGGCGACTAGTGTGTGTATGTGTACACTAATTATCGCTCGTGCAATCTCTTGTGCAGCGTGGTTTGGCGCCGCTGGTGGAGCTCGCGCAGACGGTTGGTGTCTTTAAATTAGTGAAACTTGGTAACTGATACCCAGTGAGTGAGTGAGTGAGAGCGGCGCACGCGCGTGTACGCACGCATGCATGCATGCATGCGCGCGAGAGTGTGTGTGTTGTCTCCTGTTAATCTGACGCAGCGGCTGAGGTTACAGCGACGTTACGGTGATTTTTACGTTGATCAGCCGGTGACCGGTTACTAGCAGTGGGGCTGCTAACGGGCTAACAGGCGGGTAAACCGAGCGGGATAAACGGCTGGTCAAGCGAGGGTCTGCCCTTGTATGAGTGTGTGCGCGCGGGCGGTGTTACAGTGAAATGTGTGACCTCAGTTTAGTTGGATGAATGTGGAAATGGAGGGCTTGACTACATGATGACAGGTGAGCCGTTTAAATGCCTGGCATACAGACCGGTGCTCGGTAAAATCGGTGACTAAGGCTTTCTGACAGCAGCCTGTAATGTCTCCATAACACCCCCTCCATAACGCCACACATGGCTGAATGCTGTAGGGTGTTAAACCCACAGTGAGTGTGTGCATTTGGATGTGGTGTTTGTTAAAGGGAACCATTTATGCCTTTTGCATCATTCACGTTCAGAGTAAGCTTTAATAATCTAATTCTGTGCCTCCATGTCCAAAATAAGCTGTTTTATCGTCACTCTGCTTTCTCTATAAGACCCTTCTCCCTTTCATCCAGTTGGCCAACCTCTGGAAGCTTGCTGATGGGCAGCTCTGAGTTCTTGTGAGCTGCAGTGACAGCTCGAAAAAGCAATTTATTAGTCAGTTAGGATGTATGTAGGAAGTGTGTTCTTTAGGAGATGTGTTTTGTGCATGCTGGTCAAGACTCTTCTGACCCAAAACGACCAAGCTTTGTTTTGTCTTCGTACTCAAAGCCCAATAAATAGCAAGACTGGGCCATCTTCACTGTCCTTATCGGCACAGGTCCTCCTAAATACAGTATAAACATGGATGCAACTTTCTTTTCAGACCCCACCAGGGGGCGACACTCCTGGTTGCAAAAAGTCTGACATTTGAATAGAAGTCTATGGGAAAATTACCCTACTACTAACTGAATCCATGACTCCAGTTCTAGTTAAAACAAGGTCATTTTGCGGGATGAGTTACTGCCCAAAGTGGAGGATTTTGAGTACCTCGGGTGGTGTCTGTAGTGATGTGGATGCTGTACCTGTCCGTTGTGGATAATCTGAGTGTAAAAGCAAAGTTCAGTCTACGTTCCTACCCTCACCTCTGGTCCTTGAGGTCTGAGTATTGACTGAACGAATGAGATCAAAGATACAAGGGGTAAAAATGAACTTTCTACAAAGGGTGGCTGGGATCTCCCTTAGACTTAAGGGTGAGAAGTTCAGTCATTTGGGAGGAGCACCGAGTTAAGCCGCTACTGCTCCACAGGTGAGGTGGTTCAGGCATGTCCTCCTGGTAGGATACCACAGGGGTAGACCCAAGACACGTTAGAAAGACTCATCTCTCAGCTGGTGTGGAAATGCTTTGGTGTTCTCTGGATGAGCTGGAGGAGGTGGAGGAGTAGAATGCTGCACCGTGACCCAGCCTTGAATAAGCAGTAGAAAATGGATGAAGTTAGTTCTGTAAATTCTGGTCACTCTAAGTGGTAGAAAGCAGGATAAGTATGTTCACTGGACTTGTGATTGATTTTACGTTGCACACGTTCATTTCCATTTCAAAAAGCAAGGTACAATTATGTATTACTATGAACAAACAACTGCTCATTCTTTACTGTGAGAACAGGCCGACTGGCTCAAGAAAAGAACTTCATAGTGAGGTTTGCTTCACGGGTGAACTTGGAGCTGTGATTGGTGGACATACAGTGGGGCAAAAAAGTATTTAGTCAGCCACCGATTGTGCAAGTTCCCCCACTTAAAATGATGACAGGTCAGTAATTTGCACCAGAGGTACACTTCAACTGTGAGAGACAGAATGTGAAATAAAAATCCATGAATCCACATGGTAGGATTTGTAAAGAATT